TTGCTATGTTAGTTCGTACTATGTACCCAATTAACCTTCCATGGACGGGTGATTCTGTTTGGGATCTCCTTTTATTTTGTAAACTGCTCGTTCGATTTTCATGAAACTTAGTTTATGGGATAATAATTTGATAATGCTTTATTAGAATCTAAGATTACAAATAAGTTTAAAACGGTGGATCCAATATATATATGGCGAATAAAATTTTTTTAATTATCTAATTATCATACACATAAAACTTGATTTTATGAAATTTTTAATTGTGAAGTATATATATGTATATATAACATCAAGTATCAAATTTTACTTTATTTGAAGCTCATCAATGCTACGCAAACAGTTAGTATTAATTTCCAAACTGACTTCCAAACTCTGATTGTGAACTTTGTGACATTAGATTCTCCTGCATTGGAGATTACTACCCTTTTGAAATTCGATATTTTCAGATTACATTCAAACTCATTGTCAGTGATATTAAGAACTTCCTTTAAAGCTTAGTTTCACGGTAATAAGGTTATTTTTTTGAAATTTAAATTTTAAAAGACCAGAACTAAAGTCAGAGAGCCACTCCCGACGTCTTCTCTAAGCTTTTTTTGTTAGAAAGCTCCCGTCCACAAAAGGGTTAAAAAGGGTTAAACCATTGAAATCCGTTGACATTGTTCAAAAAAATTCTCATGGACAAATTCTCTATTTTATTTTTCTCTATTGTTCAAGATCTCATAAATAAATCCGTCTTTCATCATTTCATTGAGAAAAAACTAATGGAGAAGTATTTGTCAAAATTTTGGTAAAATAATTTATTTTATTTATTGCTGCTCTTTTGTCAAATTATACTTTAAAAGTAATTTATAGTAAAACTAATAAGTTTTTGATTATCTGCTACTTTTTGTGCTACTTTTCTCATTTTTCCTTTAAGTATTGTTCAAAGACATAATAGAGCAGACCTATTCAATTTGAATGGACTGTAGATTAGATACAGTCCACTCTATGTCTTTGGTATTGTTGTACCACATTCTTTATCTTTCAGTAAATCTGTTCTTATTTTATTGGCAATGCTATTGCAATAATATTTTTGACCACATTCTTCATCTTTCAATAAATCTGTTTTCTCATTTGGTTGACAATGCTATTACCTTGTCAACAAAAGAAATTTTTTAAAGTGAAAATGTGCTATGCAGTACTTTCTAAACACAAATCTAACAGAGATATTAATTAATATTGAACTTGGAGTCAGATATTTCTTGTAGAAATATCTATTATTGATATATTGAAGATTTCGTTGTATTGTGTGTCTTTCAAATAAAAAATAAAAGTATATTTTCTTTTACAATTAGAAGAGATAGTCTCCTTGAAAAAGAAGAGCCTTGAAGTCTGCTTTCTATCTTTTACAAAGAACATTATAGAGATTAGCATATCAGAATTAAATAAATTACGAATAATTTTTTTTTAAATGTTTGATATTTAAATTACACACTCACAAAACACACACACACACACACACACACACACACAGAGTAAAAAAAACTAAAACGACATGGTTCAGCTATCAAAAATTCGAATGATATATCTGTTTCAGATATTACAGAATAATATTCATCGTTACATTAATCATTGAGTTATGAGTACCAAATATTGTAAAGAGAAAAATATTTTATTCGCGTAAGGCCAATTAACCTTGCTTCAAGTAGTCGTAACTGTGATATACTGCCGTTACTGATAAAGCGTAGCCGTATAACAACGATTCGATCGCAAAAAGAGATCCTGTCAACGTAATTTACAATGGCACTGAAATACAACGCGAAACGTATATTCAGCACGACTGTGAATCATTACGGATGTACTTAACGTCGAAGTTTGCTCGGCAAACATTGTTTATAATAGCAGTACACAGCATTGATCAGACCGAATCCGTTATCGAGAAAGACGGCCGTCGACTCTAAATCTTTGTAGCGGGGTTTGAGGGGACTCGGTTGCGGAGATAAAAGAGAACTATATTAGCCGTAAACTCATCCGTCAGTGTCAAAACGTCAAAGAGTCGTCTTCAGGATATTAGCGGCGCCGCTACAGCAGACAGTTCACGCAGAAGCTATGCTTTGTCGACTGTCTTTATAGTTTTCTTTTTTTAGGAAGCTAAATAAGACGAAGAGATCGATATTGAACAAGACAAAAATCCTCTGAAGTAATTGATATAATTAAAAAAACAAAAAAAAAATAAAAAAAAAAACAGAAAATGCATAGAAAGCGCGGATAGTTTGCGTCTAGAGAGTAAAAACTTATAAAACGCAATATTTTGTTCAAAATATATTTATTAAAAAATTTTTTGACATTTTTTATTTAATAATATTTTAAAACAACAATTAGAGAATAAAGAGCACATAAGAGTCGAATATAATAAATTAATCTACAACATGAAAAGTAGAAAGAATGAATAATATAATTGATTAAAAAATAATAAATATTACATGTTTCGGTCTCACGATTGAGACTTCTTCAGATATTCATGTCGACGATGTAACAATGGTTGAAAGCAGTCGAATAGATAAAACAAACTTATAAACCTAAAGATGACGACCAGTGAGATGCTTAATAATATTTGTCATTGCTATCGATTTTTCAAATAATCTATTATACATTGAAGAAAGCGTTTGATAATATTTAATGTTGAATGAAATAATTTCAATTAAATATTCGATTAATATAACGAAAAATAATTTTTCTAAATATTTAGTTAAATAAAATATATTTGACATTAGCTATTACCAGATTTTTTTTTAATGCAATAAAAAAACAAAGACTCTATTTCAAGATGGAGGCAAGTTTTATTTTTACGATTACAAAAGTAAAAGTAAAGGCAGTTCCGTGAAAGCCAGCAGTGCAATACAATTGCAGGGAAAATTATTTCTCGAAAGTAAAACCTTAAATATCGAGGCGATCGCAGATATCTGTTCACAGCTTATACTATAATGGTTAATGATACCGAGAGAATGGTTATAATGACTTCTAGTGTTAAATTACGGTCGACATACCTATATGCATTTCTCAGATACTGTTCGGTTGCATTCCTGGGCGAAGTGCTCCCCGGGGTAATTATTGTTTACCGCGGGTATGCGGTCTACGTAGCGGGCGTGTGGATATCGTCATAATTCGTCGTAATTACCTTGTAACATAGTTACTTCATCGATCGCTTTATCTTGCTTAAGCTGTACTTAACGGAATGGCCGTAATCGCCTAACCGCGGAGCGTTTGAGTTCCAACGAGGTCTGATAGTCAAGCTCTTTAATGGCTGTATCGCTCGTCAAGCGGACGGGTATGATGCGTGCCTGGCGAGCGCGTAAATGCGTTACACGCGTGAGTACGCTGTTGAATTTCGCCGAATATGTATTTTGCACGTTTTATTCTACGCAAATATATCCGAGTGTCGCGACAATATTGCAACGGAGCTTGTCGAAACGATATAAAATATAAAAAAAAGGATCATTCATATCAATAAATAATACGCTATCGTGATTTCGCTTTAAATTATGTATTGAACTGATACACCCTAGTGAACATTTTTCTTAGAATTCTTCATATAATTTTTCGGAGCTTTTAAATTTGTCAAAATTTACAATCTGTAAATTTCAGAATTTTTCAGAATTTTTGTATAATTTTGTAACTTTTTACATTTTTCAGATATTTTATATGGATTGGAATACTTTTTAAAAGTATTGCGAAAGTTTACATTTATTTACATTTATTCTAGAATTCCTCGTATAATTCGGAAATATTTAAAATTTATTTTATTTCTCATCCTCTATAATTTCTGAACAAATTTATAAGATCTGAAAGAATTTAAGGTATTTTTTCGAAAATCTTTATATATATAAATTAAATATATTAAACGAGTTCTTAAAAATATCATGAGATATTACGAAAACTTTTTTTATCAGAGACGTATTAAAAACAGATACAAAATCGCTATTTATAGCATCCAGTGATTTGGTAATCTAAGGTTTAGAAATTTGTGTAACAAGTCTCGTATAAAAAAAATATATTTGAACGCTACTTACGGCCAAAGATCAGTCAACTCATCACATTGGCAGTAATAATTCGATATCGACAAATCTGAAGGTGCGGAGGTCCACGATATAAAGAATGGCACGCAAACACCGAGAGATCGGTAGCCACGAGGCGTTAAGTACCGGATGACTCAGTGCGCACCGCGGTCGGGGCCGGGGCGATAATTAAAACGCTTTTACAAAACTGTAGGCAAACAGCGCTTAAGTGGCTGTCATTCGTTACCCCGTGGGGCCGCAGCAAGTCGGTAAGTCGCTGAGCGAGCAATCAATCACCCGACCCGTTCTCCCCTACCCCCGGCGGCCCATTACATTTCTATTTTGAAAGCTGCTTATTAAGCGGGGCCGGCTGGAGAGACAGACAGGTTTCACGGTATAAAATATCGGGTTGCCGTGGTGGCAGGAACGACGGTTCCGTGTCGTGGCAGCTATGGTAGCTCCAGTGCGGGAGGGTGGCAGGGGAAGCGCGACCATGGCATGGAGAGAGAGAGAGAGAGAGAGAGAGAGAGAGAGAGAGAG